CCCCAAAACCCCAAAACCCCAAAACCCCAAATAAGAATAAAACTTTTGAAAGTAATATTAAATCACATTTTTAGAAATGAAGGTAAGGAAAAGACAAATTGCCCAATCTTTTCAAGAAAAGAGGTAGTATGCCCTCACTTTGGTTAGACATTGCTGGTGAGGAACCCATAGTTTTATTTTATACTAAGATCGATCTTTTAGAGTTGTAGAGGGGCATTTACTACTGCTTTCTCTCTGAAACTCTCTCTGGACAATCCCTGTTTTCATGATTCTAAAGTCCTAGATTCTTTCATACATGCTATGAAAGCTTTTGATGACTATTAAATTATTTTCTCAAGTTTAAAAATTATCACATCTTGGAAAAATGTTGGTTAAAAGCTACTTTTGAGTAATTGCAAGGTATTATATCTACCTTTTGCTGTTACGATTTGTCAAGAGATCTAACCTTCCCATCTGAATGCTTGCATCTCGAATTCAGAGGGAAAGTCTCATAATAAACGAGAGTTTTGGATGCGTTACTAGAGGCACAAAGTATCAATTTGTTTGGACTGATAAGACATCAGTTTCGTTAGACAATTAATATTATTAAGTATTTAGCTTATTTTGTGAGAGTTGCCTTCCTGAAGAACTTGGTTTAGACTATTGCCTAGCTTGCATGGTAAATTTAGAATTAAATCTTGGGCTTCCACGTAATCAGAGATCGATCTGACCTCATACGGTATTATCCATTTATTCTTTGATGAAAGGAGTTTTGGCTCAGATTTACCGTAAAGGTATTTAGAACTAGTTGCTCATTTGGAGCTTTTACAGCTACTTGATGATTTCAAAGAGTACTTTTGAAGGCGGAAGGGAGCTATCTTAATTGTAACTAGATTAAAAAGAAGAAATTTATGCAACTTTTGAAATATCTCGGATCTAGTTGGCTCAAGAGGAAATAACCTTAATATGCAAGTTAGGGAACCAAAATTAGAGTTATCTGAGGGGGTAAGTATGCTCTCTCTAGATCTCTGACAAACAGCCTGATCTAGCCTGATTTTCTGAGGTGTTCTATTAAGATTAGTATAATATAAAGACTTGTTTGAGAGGTATAGTAATTTGTCTGAATTTTGAAGTTAGGCATCTCCATTAGTTGCCAGGGCAGAAAGAAAGGAGGTGATGTTTTGGATTTTATAATTCGCCATTGAGCTCTATTGCTCCTTTTTAATTATGTATGAACGAATTCAAAAATATTATATTCTCTAGAAAATTATAATATCTTATTTCTGACGTGTAATTTTCAGTTTCAGAAAATCATCAATATCTTTATAGAGAATAATGATATGAAAATTCGAGAGATGTTTATTGTATCTTTTATTAGCAATACTATCTGTCACAAAATCAGAACTGATGGCTAAATATCTGTTGCATGGACTGAGTAGTGACTCCAACGATGTTCAAAGCACTGAAGGCTGGGAAAATCAGCCAGTCCTTCAGTGGCCAGGTAATGTTATTCTTTTACCTTTTAGTGAGTGTTTCGGATAAGCCTACAATCTTGACCGAAGGCCTCGAGTTTCAGAACGATCAATATTTAGAGTTCTCCACTCATTTTGATAATAAAGGGAGTGATTACATCAGCGTGAACGTTTGGGTTTATCGACCATATGGAAACGTCACTGGAAATATCATCACTATCGGAAATAGTGTGAGTATAGTTCAAAAATGAGTTTCTATTTAAATTTAGCATAATTTCTTCACTTTTAATGAACTCTACCTTTCCAAAATCTTACAAAATCTCCTCTCAACTCATTGCTACTAACCTCATAAGGTCATAATCCATTGCACAACTATGTTTGACAGCATCTCACCAAACTTCGCTAATCCCTACACATTTCCCAGCTAAAAGCCTTACTTTTCCACTCCCAAATTTCTCTCACTCCCTTATTTCCCATTTCTCCCACAAAATCCTAAAAGATACACTTGCCGGCTGGAATGACTTAACGATTGGCATAGTTCACAAATGGAGGGTACGCTCAAGGTGTTGGGCAGGTGTACCTGCATACTGTATTGACCACGGCTTATACAGTTCATAATTATGTTTATGTCAATGGGCAAGAGGTTTCAGATATTGAAGAATTGATGCCGTGTAAGTGTCTTTGTGAGCGGTGCTTGGGTTATGGGAAAGTTATGGCGAGGTTTGCTTGGATGAAGGGCTTGAAGATTGTTGTTAAGGAATTACTGTGAGGTGTTCAGGGATGAAAATTAACTTCTTTTTTATTAAGTTATTCATCTGTAGGGGCAATCCTTAAGAATTAGATTTTATTTCTCAAATTATAGCGAATAAATGGACATGCTTTGGGTTTGGATGGGGGAGAAATGAAGCATATTTCAGATGGAAAACAAGTTCAGATGGAAATGGTATGATAATCGTGCGAAGTCTCCTATGTCAATCGAACTGATATCTCTTGAAACTTCGATTTTGATATTTCTAATCATTTCTTGTAGCTGTGACTAGAAGTATGAGCATACCTTCATGGACAGCATCAGATAAATTGTATATTGGTTGATTTGATGGAACTTGAGGAACTTCTCACACTTTCAAAGCGCATAGTATAACAATCCACTCAGACAAAGACTTCATGACCTCTAATACCCTCCAAGACATTCCCTTCAACGGTACTTCTCCCTCTCACTTCTAGAATGGTTTACTTCCTGCATCACTGGCACTCGTGACTGGGGGGAAGACTGAGATGACAGGAATTATAATACTGGGGATGGCTGCACTCCAGGATGTGCAGTAGAGGCTAACTGGGTTTGTAGTGGAGGAAGTACTAGTACTCAAGATACTTGTGCAGATGACTGTGGAGATGGGGTTAATGTCCAGAGTTCGGTTGTGGGGTATTGAGATGATGGTAATAATAGTGATGGAGATGGATGTGATCAGAATTGAAATGTAGAGGATGGCTATGTTTGTAGCGGAGGGAGCATGAGTAGTGCAGATACTTGCACTATGTCTTGTGCTTCTGCAACTCCACCAGCTGATCCAACTATTTATTGTAAAGATAGGAATATTGATCCTGGAGATGGATGAGACTCTTCTTGTAAAGTAGAGAGTGGGTATACTTGCTCTTGGGATAGTGTAAGTCTTGCTAGTGTTTGAGCTGATACATGTGGAGATGGAGCTGTTATGACTCCTACTCAAGGATATTGAGATGATGGAGATAGTGATGACAATGATGGTTGAAGCTCAACTTGTGCGGTAGAAGCTGGCTGGTCCTGTTCGCTCGGAGACTCTTCTACTGCTAGTACTTGATCAGATTCTTGAGGGGATGGCAAGGTAATGAACTTGATTGCTGGATACTGAGACGACGGAAATACCGCCACTGGTGATGGCTGAAGCGACACCTGCCAGATTGAACCGTACTGGGAATGAACACTCGGAGACTCCTCAACCGCAAGCATATGATCTGACATCTGCGGAGACTCAAGAGTAGTCAAGCCTACTGTCGGATACTGCGATGATGGAGATAGAGTTAACGGTGATGGGTGTAGTTATGGATGACTAGTTGAGTCAGGATGGCAATGAACTCTTGGAGATGCAGCTACTGCTTCAGTCTGTTCGGATGACTGAGGAGATGGCAAAGTCATGAGTGTTCAAGCTGGGTATTGAGATGATGGTGGTAATGATGATGGGGATGGCTGTAGCTCAACGTGAGTTGTAGAGACTGGGTGGACTTGTACATCTGGAGATTCTTCTACAGCGAGTACTTGATCTGATACTTGAGGAGATGGCAAAGTCATGGATTCTCAAGCTGGTTATTGTGACGATGGAGGAAAAACAAATAATGATGGATGTAGTTCATCTTGAGCTGTTGAGTCAGGATGGACATGCACATTAGGAGATACTTCAACTGCTTCAGTATGTACAGACGATTGTGGAGATGGAAAGGTCATGGATCCAGCTTCTGGTTACTGTGATGATGGTGACAATGATGATAATGATGGTTGAAGCTCAACATGAGCAGTTGAGCCTGGATGGATTTGTACAACTGGAGACTCAACAACAGCAAGTTCTTGCTCAGATAATTGTGGAGATAGCAAAGTCATGAATCCTCAATCTGGTTATTGAGATGACGGAAGTTATGGTGATGGAGATGGATGAAATTCGACCTGTGAAGTAGAGACTGGTTGGGAATGTACACTTGGAGACTCTTCAACTTCCAGTTCGTGCTCTGACAAATGCGGAGACGGGAAAGTAATGATTTCTTCTTCTTTATATTGTGACGATGGAAACAATGATTCTGGAGATGGTTGAAGTGATACTTGACAAATTGAATCTGGGTGGACTTGAACATCCGGCAATCAAAATACAGCTTCAGTATGTATAGATTCTTGCGGTGATGGGCTGGTCATGAATCCTCAAGCAGGGTATTGTGATGATGGTGGTGACGTTGATAACGATGGATGAAGCTCAAATTGTGAGGTAGAAGTAGGATGGGATTGAACACTAGGAGATTCAACAACTTCAAGTGTCTGTTCAGATAAATGAGCTGATGGTATTATAGTTGATCCCAAAATTGGCTATTGAGATGATGGAAACACTATAAATGGAGATGGATGTGATTCAAGCTGTGGTGTTGAACCTAATGTAAGTTGAACTATTGGAGACTCTACAACTGCAAGTGTCTGCACTGATATATGTGGAGATGGCTTTATCAGCATCAATACTCTTTTGTCCACATATTGAGATGACGGAAATAACAATGATGGAGATGGATGAAGTTCTATCTGTGAAGTTGAGAGTGGTTGGGAATGAACCCAAGGAACATCTTCCACACAAAGTGTTTGAACTTCTTCTAATTACACTCAGACTAAATGTTCTGTATCTTACTGCGAAACTTGTTCTTTAAACTCTAGAGATATTTGAGATACATGTGAAGATGGCTTCCAATTACTGAAAGATGGAACTTGCAGAGATGTGCAAGTTTCGACCAGCGTTCAGAAAATGTCAAAAGGTACTCAAGCTGTAGTTGGAGTAGGATCAGTTGCTGCCATTGCTGCTTCCATTCTCAATGGAGCTTCCCCTTGAGCAATCTGGTCAATGGCAAATCAACTGCAACTACTGTTATTGCTGCTCCTGACTCAGTCTTCATTGCCATCTGATGTCAGAGGCTACATTATCAATAACTCAATGTTTTCATTCAGTATGGACTTCGATTTCATTCCGCTTAAAACCAACTTTTTGACTAAGGTTCCTCTGGACTGGATGAGCAAAGGTCAGACCAACCTCGAACTCGAAGACATGGGGCAAGAGTCCGGAAGTTCGTTCAACAACAACTTTAGCTTTGCTTTTTATCTTATTCTTGGATGTATGTTCCACTGTGTGTTATGTTTACTTCCAAGAAAACTTGATTACCAACCAAGAAATTTCAAGGAAAGAGTGATTAAATTTATTGGTGGATTGTGGAAATCATTCACATTTGGGTTTTATCTGAGATTTATACTAGAAGGATTCCAAAATATTCTCTTGTCTAGTGTCAACGAACTGAAGCATCATGATTTAAGTACAGTGAGTTTGCAAGTGTCAACAGCTATCTCTGGAGCCTTCTTGTTGTTGCTTGTGCTCATTATGGGCCTGTCTGCAGCTCAAATATTCAAGATTTCTGATCCAGATGAACATTCCAAATGTGGAGAATTAGTTGCCGGGCTCAAAAATACCAAATTATCAAAGGCTTACACAACACTGTTGATATCTAGGAGGATCATGTTCTGCACCTGGCTCATCATGTTTGAGTATCTCGGGAACTCCATTATTGTCTGTGGTATGCTTTGAATGCAGACATGATACACTCTGTACATGCTGATTGTAAGGCCATTCGAAGATAAAACTAACAGCCTAATAGAGTGTATCAACGAAGTGTTCTTTACTTGATTTTTAATTTATTTGTTAAGGTTTAATTCGGTGAGTACATGGAATGATAAGTCTTCAAGCATGTACATTCTGTCAATGGTTTGCAACAACCTGATTGTTGTGACCATTGTTTTTAGTAAGCCTTTTTATAATCCATAGCCATGAGTATCTATAATCTTCTGAAAAAACTTTATGTATCAAAGCCTGGAATAACTCCTCAGCAATCAAGGTTTGCTCCTCAAGAAATTTCAGCCTCAGATATCAGGATCCAAAAATCAACAGTAACTACAGTAATGAGTAAGAATATTATTGGAAGGGAGAGGTTGATGGCTCAGGCAAGGAATGCTATCAATAATCTCTCTAAAAAATCCTCAAGAGTTGTACCTGTTCATAACCCCTAAAGATCCTCAGAATTCAACCGGTAATAATAATTACCATTTATCAATTATCAAAATCAGTATTATTAATCTAATAAGGGGTTTTGGGGTTTTGGGGTTTTGGGG